CGAAAGATCCAACCGAGACGGAATGTACAACGAGCCTGAATGTCCATCGAGGCGAAAAATCCAACCGAGACGGAATGTCCAACGAGCCTGAATGTCCAACGAGACGAAAGATCCAACCGAGACGGAATATACAACGAGCCTGAATGTCCATCGAGACGAAAGATCCAACCGAGACGGAATGTCCAACGAGCCTGAATGTCCAACGAGACGAAAAATTTAACCGAGACGGAATGTCCAACGAGCCTGAATGTCCATCGAGACGAAAGATCCAACCGAGACGGAATGTACAACGAGCCTGAATGTCCATCGAGACGAAAGATCCAACCGAGACGGAATGTCCAACGAGCCTGAATGTCCAACGAGACGAAAGATCCAACCGAGACGGAATATACAACGAGCCTGAATGTCCATCGAGACGAAAGATCCAACCGAGACGGAATGTCCAACGAGCCTGAATGTCCAACGAGACGAAAAGTTCAACCGAGACGGAATGTCCAACGAGCCTGAATGTCCATCGAGACGAAAGATCCAACCGAGACGGAATGTCCAACGAGCCTGAATGTCCATCGAGACGAAAGATCCAACCGAGACGGAATGTACAACGAGCCTGAATGTCCATCGAGGCGAAAAATCCAACCGAGACGGAATGTCCAACGAGCCTGAATGTCCAACGAGACGAAAGATCCAACCGAGACGGAATATACAACGAGCCTGAATGTCCATCGAGACGAAAGATCCAACCGAGACGGAATGTCCAACGAGCCTGAATGTCCAACGAGACGAAAAATCCAACCGAGACGGAATGTCCAACGAGCCTGAATGTCCATCGAGACGAAAGATCCAACCGAGACGGAATGTACAACGAGCCTGAATGTCCATCGAGACGAAAGATCCAACCGAGACGGAATGTCCAACGAGCCTGAATGTCCAACGAGACGAAAGATCCAACCGAGACGGAATATACAACGAGCCTGAATGTCCATCGAGACGAAAGATCCAACCGAGACGGAATGTCCAACGAGCCTGAATGTCCAACGAGACGAAAAATCCAACCGAGGCGGAATGTCCAACGAGCCTGAATGTCCATCGAGACGAAAGATCCAACCGAGACGGAATGTCCAACGAGCCTGAATGTCCATCGAGGCGAAAAATCCAACCGAGACGGAATGTACAACGAGCCTGAATGTCCATCGAGACGAAAGATCCAACCGAGACGGAATGTCCAACGAGCCTGAATGTCCAACGAGACGAAAGATCCAACCGAGACGGAATATACAACGAGCCTGAATGTCCATCGAGACGAAAGATCCAACCGAGACGGAATGTCCAACGAGCCTGAATGTCCATCGAGACGAAAGATCCAACCGAGACGGAATGTCCAACGAGCCTGAATGTCCATCGAGACGAAAGATCCAACCGAGACGGAATGTACAACGAGCCTGAATGTCCATCGAGACGAAAGATCCAACCGAGACGGAATGTCCAACGAGCCTGAATGTCCAACGAGACGAAAAATCCAACCGAGACGGAATGTACAACGAGCCTGAATGTCCATCGAGGCGAAAAATCCAACCGAGACGGAATGTCCAACGAGCCTGAATGTCCATCGAGACGAAAGATCCAACCGAGACGGAATGTCCAACGAGCCTGAATGTCCATCGAGGCGAAAGATCCAACCGAGACGGAATATACAACGAGCCTGAATGTCCATCGAGACGAAAGATCCAACCGAGACGGAATGTCCAACGAGCCTGAATGTCCAACGAGACGAAAAATCCAACCGAGACGGAATGTCCAACGAGCCTGAATGTCCATCGAGACGAAAGATCCAACCGAGACGGAATGTCCAACGAGCCTGAATGTCCAACGAGACGAAAAATCCAACCGAGACGGAATGTCCAACGAGCCTGAATGTCCATCGAGACGAAAGATCCAACCGAGACGGAATGTACAACAAGCCTGAATGTCCATCGAGGCGAAAAATCCAACCGAGACGGAATGTCCAACGAGCCTGAATGTCCATCGAGACGAAAGATCCAACCGAGACGGAATGTCCAGCGAGCCTGAATGTCCAACGAGACGAAAAATCCAACCGAGACGGAATGTACAACGAGCCTGAATGTCCATCGAGGCGAAAAATCCAACCGAGACGGAATGTCCAACGAGCCTGAATGTCCATCGAGACGAAAGATCCAACCGAGACGGAATGTCCAACGAGCCTGAATGTCCATCGAGGCGAAAAATCCAACCGAGACGGAATGTACAACGAGCCTGAATGTTCATCGAGACGAAAGATCCAACCGAGACGGAATGTCCAACGAGCCTGAATGTCCAACGAGACGAAAGATCCAGCCGAGACGGAATATACAACGAGCCTGAATGTCCATCGAGACGAAAGATCCAACCGAGACGGAATGTCCAACGAGCCTGAATGTCCAACGTGCCTGAATATCCATCATTGGATCTTCCGCCTCGTTGGACATTCAGGCTCGTTGGATATTCCGTCTCGTAATCCTGTTTCAGGGGGGGGGGACAAAACACATGCCTTGCCCCCCCCCCCCCCCCCCCCACTCTGAGAACTGGGGGAGGGGGGCAAGCGCTTGCCCCCCCGGTCGGTACGCCTATGATGTTGTCTCAATCCGGACATAATCAGACTGGCAACAGTACTTAGTAATAGACTTTGTGAACCCCCCCGAAAACGATGTATCACGGCGTATCCAGTCTACGGTATATACCGAGGCCAGCCAGACCGAACGGGTCGGGCTGGCTTGGACACGAGCGCCGCAATGCGGCAGTGAATGACAGCGCGTCACTTTTTTCTCGGAACTTGTCAACTTCTCCGATCCAGTAACGTTGGTCGGGACTTCCCTCCGGCTGTGCCGCGCGAAGAGAACGAAAAGGCAGTCCTGGCGTCTCGCCAAGAATGGCGCGACGAAAATCTTTGTGTCGTCTGCCCGAAGGACTTGTTTTCAAACCTCGCGTTATGCTTAGGGTGTGTATTTTCCGGTTTTAACCGAAAAACACCGATAAACATCCGTCGGTGACGAAAATACAAAATCGGTTAAAACCGAAAAAGACCGGTGGTTGGATATTTTCGTCCTGGTTAAAACCGAAAAACACCGGTCGAAAAACACCGACCTAGCGAAACCCTTTCCCCGTAGAGGTTCGTCAAACGTGTTATCTCGTGGATCCAGTGTCTATACATGGCTTGCACGTGGTGTCAGTCCGCCCTCCTTTCTGTGGGTCAAAAGCGTCTAGTTAACGCAGTGGAAGCTAAGCTTTCACACGCCTTTCCCCCATTGTGTCTCCCATGGCCCCCTTTTGTGGAAAAATTAACGCAGTGGAGGGTACGCTCTCACGTGCCCTTTCCCCATTGTGTTTGGCCAAGTGATGTCGGTGCAAGCCATGTATTTAGAGGTTGCTCTGGTTCCTGGAAGACACTGCCAACATCCGTGTCGTACAGGGCTACTGACTTTTGAGAACTGAGATGCGTTCATTGTTATCCGTTTAGTTTCCATGGGCTTTTGGGGAAACGGAAAAAAGGTTTTGTTGGCGTGGGGGTTTTCATCATTCATCATGGAGGAATCGTCGTTCTGGTTCCACGTGCAAATTGTTAATCCGTGCATAAAAGTGGAGCTGCCAGAGGGATTTGTGCCCTATGAAAGTATCTATCGGCTGGTCCTCCGAGACGAGCGCAAGCTGAGTGACCTAAAATCAGGGTTTCTTTGTTACCGCCAGTAGGCTGTGACTAGCACCGTTGATCCAGTGTTATTTTGGAAACTTTATTTACCTGACTGGCCACTACTGTCCCAAGCCTCGCTAGACATTTTGGGATTTCCTGTGTCCAGCGCAAATGTGGAACGTGCTTTTTCAAAATTGCGGGTTGTGAACCGCAAGGAACGTGCTGCCATGACGGATGCAAGCCTCTCGAAGTATGCTTGCATCTACTATAATAACCAAGCGTGAGAAATAGATGCTTCCTCGACAATAAGTGTATAAAATATGTGAATAAAATTGGAACTCTCTGTCCGTGATCAATCGCATTTTTTTTCCACCGATAATCACAGATTTTAGCCTTGTCGTGAGACGTTCCACCGAAATACACCGGTGTTTCGAAAATAAATAAACACCGAAAAACATCCGCCGATTTTTCCCACAAATAAACACCGGAAAGTACACACCCTAGTTATGCTATATCCCACTTTGGCAGTATCTAGGTGCTACGCGTAATGTTGAGTGGTTTTAGGAGCTTCCACCGCGCTTACCCACTTCGCGGATCACTGACCACTGGTGGCGGTAGTCAGTGTCATCCACGACGCCAACCACGACAACTATCCTCAGGTACGTGACAGCACCATTCCACCCGCATTGCGCGACCGTGCTACACCGATCTCTTTCCTTTCCTCGCACGGTATGGGCGAAAAATACGACTTTCTTTTCATTTTGTTTCTTCTTTTCCTTAAAATCTATTTTTTCCCATAAAAATAGTTTGCACTAAGGATTATGTAGTATATTCATGATTCATATTCATAATTCTATGTTGCGAATGAACTTTAATATAAGAATATAAAAGGTTAAAAGCGCAAACATGAGCCAGCTAGCTTAAACCAGTCTTAATTGAATATAATATTTTCAATGCAATTTTTATTCATAATCGCATAATCGATCCTTTACTTAAAATTTGGAGGATTAAATTTGCCTCCTATTTTACTTAGGCCCTCCTCATAAGGCTGCCTATTGTGCCCACGTTGAGATTTTATTAGCAGAACAAATACGTAGACTGTTTATTTTTTTTCAAGATTGATTTTTCTTGCGACAAAAACAACATTAATTATTGGTAGTTAAAATTTATAGAGAGGTATCGGTGACGCCATGAAATAGTAACGAATAATTATGATTGCACTCTGAACGCTGGGCGTTTATTTGTCCTTTTTTAGACTCGTTAAAACTACGCAGATACGCAACATTCAAAATAACGCAAAAAAAAAAAAAACTTTCACAGACACGAAAGCGTACAATTAAGTGGGCTTGCAGTAAGTGGGGTGTTCTCATGGATGTACGTATGAACATCTATAAACAACATCACGAACGAGAGATTCGCCATACTGAAGCCGTCACTATCCTACCACGCTGTGAAAAGCGCTTCAAAACTAAGACCGCCGAGCAGCACCGCGTGGCCCCAATAAAGACCAGAGGCTGAAAACTGTTCTGCGCCTGAAGTCTTCAGCTGTCGCGTTACCACTGCCCTCCAAGGTCCACCTCAAGTCTCTCCGAACGAGCAATGAAGAATTCCACGAGCAAATTTTGAAGAGGCTTCCGTTAGCCCTCAATGAGCTGATAGTTCGAGCTTGGTTGAAGTTGAGCCGAAGATACTCGGGATTGACTCAGCACATGCCAAACATCGTGCCCATCTTCATTAGCTACGCATCTGCAAGTGACCGGTGCGGATCGGCTCAAACCCCAGACATGACTTTCCCGTAAACAGGAGGTAAGGTTCTCGGTGAGGCGTCCAGAAGAGACATTGTGGTAAAAGGGGAAGAAGGTTTCGGAGGGGGGAACCAGGAGTGCCGTCCTCAAGAGACAGGCTTCCGGGTGCTGTGATGCAGCTGGTTAAGTGCCTGGCGGAGAAGCAGGTTGAAGCGATGCAGATCGCCTTCTTCAGCTTCGTCTTCGTCCAACTCGTCAGCATCGTGACGCCTGGTCGGCTGGAGCCACGAGGGCCTGAAACCGAGGCCGTGACAAAGTTTACTCGTCATTTAGCTAAGCCACGATTAAGCGGTTCGGGGAAAGCCCCCCCTTAGCCGAGCGAAGGCTGGAGAGGAGGTCGTTTCCTCTCCAGCCTTCGCTCGGCTGAAGTGGAAAGGAGTGGGAGGAGCTTCTTCTCTTCTAGGTGGTGTTGCGTCACCCCGCTGAAGAAGCGCGGGAAAGTTTGAATGAATTGGTTTTAGAATCACCTTCATTTGACATTTTCTCAATAGCACGCATGTCGGGAAGGGGTATTCTAAGAATGTGCATAACTTAAATACAAAAAAAAAAAACAAAAAAAAACGCCGGAACATTTTTTTTTCTTTTTTCTCCCCCCCCCCCCCCCCCTTCCTCTTTCCCTTTAAACAAGTAACAAGTAATTGCAATTCTACGATCAGCACTGTCGTTTATTGATACCACAGATCCGAGAAGGTGAAAAGGTCATTTTGTTAAAATATTATTATACATATGTCAAAATACTATTGTACAAATCATTATTTTATTCCCATTTAAATTATTGTTCGCTGCAACCAATCTTGAGAAAGTGCACTTGCTCCAAGAAAGAATGATGCGTGTAATTGCAAACGTACCTTATCTTTCCCACATGAAAACCCTGTTTAAAACTTATAATATACTCAGTTTTCACAATCTTTATCTTTATAACACTTCGTCCCTGGTAGAATGGTCTGGCTTGCAACAACATATCGTACCGCACCATATTCGTAATCCTGATTACTGGCACGTACCAACATGTCGACTAAACACTGGAAAAGAAACGTTGGCATACCGAATGCCAAAACTTCTGAATGTATTGCATTCTGTTATAGACCGACACGCGGGCTTGACGTCACGGAGCTGCGGCGGCGCTGCGATCGCGTCGGAGCCGGAGGGTGTGGGCAAAAGGGCGCAAGTTTCGCATGAACGTCATTGCATTTTAGCACGCCGCGACGCTATGTTGCCGTTAATTGCACCGAAATGTCCAAAAAAAGTAGCAGAGTGAGCTCCACAAGTTCCCGGCAGACTCTGCAAGGCATAGAAGGTGGATAATATCCGTGGATCGAAAAGAATGGTCGCCTCGCGCGAACGACCGTTTTGTGCGGCAAGCACTTTCTTGAAGGCAAGTGCGGCTTCCATTTCAATCTCAGTTCCATGGGCGTACCAACCGGGGGGGCTAGGGCTTTTGCCCCCCCCCCCTTTCCCGTTCTCAGAGTGGGCGGGGGAGGGGGGGGGGCAAGGCATGTGTTTTGACCCCCACCTCCCCCCCCCCCCCCCCCCCCCCTCCCCCGCCCCCGAAGCAGCCGCCACTGGGGAGGGCAAACATTGGCCGGCGGCGCCCAAGGGATAGCAATTGGGCACCGCCCCGGCCCTGGGGGGAGGGGGTCTGGTTTGCCACCCCCCTCAAAAACAAGTTGGTACGCCACTGCTCCGTTCCGAGGCTTGCTTTTGTGCAGGGAAACCGTTGTTTCATCGAGACCACCCGGATTTTGTTCCCACGGTGTTCGCGCACAAAGCACCGGCCAAGCGCACGTCGGCGGCTCGCTACGCCCGTGCTACCCAGCAGAAGGGGATCGGCGACAGAACGGCAATGTTGTAGGCGTTACCGATAAAAAGTAACGAAATACGTTACTTGCAAATAAAAGGTACGCATTACTGAGCTACGTTACCTAAGAATAAAAGGAACGCGTTCCCGCTACCGATAAAAAGTAACGCACGTTACTTCTGCGTTACTTCTTAAATTATGATTTAACACGTTTTACGGTTTTGACGATACAGGTATGCATAAGCTCATATATCAAGAAACATTATGTTCATGTATAAACTGAACATAATTACTTTATTTCTTTTTATGGTTTCACCTAAATACGACAAAAAGCTTGACGCCTAAAAAAACAGAAAAATTTGAAGTGTAATTTGGGAACTAGTAACGAGTAACATAACTACGTTTCTTGAAATAGTAACGCGAGGACATTACCCGTTTTTGTGTCGAAAAAGTAGCGAGTAGGTTAATACGTTACTAAAAAAAGTAACACGTTCCTGATAACGCCGTTACTTGTAACGTGTTACCGCCAAGGCTGCAGAACGGACAAAGCGTTACTGCTTGTCTTGCCTCGTGGTCATGAGGGTAAGAAAAATATCATACCTTGACTTCAAGACGCTCTGTGTATTTATTTAACTAATAAATACACTTCCGCAGACTTACAATCTGCCGATTCCGCCGGGAGTGCGGAAACCGACTCGAAGTAATCGTAGGCCTCGAGAGACGCCTGCACCGTGTCGGCCGTGAACTGGCTTGGCGAAAAACTAAATAAACGACGACGTGAGCCGCCGGCTTCGGTGGCAGCAACGTCACGGCGGAAGTCCAGCAGGCCTTGTTTACGGCGTACGGATCCTCGTAGGCAACGCCGTCCACGCACAGTTTGTTTCGGTACCGCTGCCGTTCAGGCTCGGGTAGCGAGCTCAAATAGTGGGGCCTAGCATACGACATAAGTTATCAGGAAATGCGACTCAAAAATAAAGCCAGAAGCGTCCCTAGAACATCAACAACGAGCGCACGCCACACAACGCAACGGTGAAAACACGGAGAGCCGGGGCCCTTTTGCCCACATAGCTACCGCGCATGCTCGGCGTTCCGGTTGTGTTAGTAAACAGAGCCGCTCCGCGTGTCGGTCTTATAACGAATGTTTTGAGTTGATTTACGAATGTCGACTAATATGGTGCTCAGTGACTTTTTCTTTTTTTTTTTTTTTTTTCATCGGGTATGTGTACGAATCTGTTTCGATATTGAGTTGCCGAAGCTGCTGCAGAATGTACTGGGGCCGAGAACTCGTCAAGCAGCGTAGCCAGTGGCGTCACAAGGGGAGGGGGCGGACCGCCCCGGGTGCAGCGCTCAGGGGGGTGTCGCGGCGGGCCACGAGAGCGGGAGGGGGGGGGGGGGGGGGGGGTCGGGTCGCGGCGGGCTTCCGCGACGGGTGCCGCTGACCCTCGTGACGCTACTGCGCGTGGCTTTCTTTCTTGATGCAGAGGTGCAACAACGGAGGGTGGCTACTTTTAGATCATGATTTGTGCCCGGTGACACGCATGACGCCTCTAAATATGACGTCCGATGAAGGCTGATTCCCGCGAAAAACAAGAAAAGAAAACAGACGGGAGATTTTTCAACGCCAATTTCACGAAGGTGTACGGCACTGGCGTTGCTGCACGATAGCTGGTTTTGTAGAGAAGAGTTTCTTTTTTTAGTAAAACGGGCCCAGGCGCAAAGATGTTTTAAAAGTGGCCTATAATGGCGTCGTTACAGTCAACGATAGGGTAAGCAGGGCTAGGGAGGAGCTTGAATTGTCCCGCCTCCAGCGCGAGCATCCTACCTCCGAGGACGCTTCGACGTCTCGAGAGCCTCGAGCGTGCTTCGGCGCGCAGCCGAAGCACGGCGGAAGGCATCGAGCGCATGCTGGAAGCCGGACAGCCTAAAGAAACACCCACGCGTGCTGTTCTCGTCCTGAGTGTGACTACACGTTGTTTGCACATGACGTCAATCCGCCATTTTGTTGTTTGTGTTTTCAATCAAATTCACTACATTGAAAGATTACATCGTAACCGGTTGAGATGATGTCAGCGTGGTAAGACATAACCTTCTGTGCTCTACGCATTTGAGGGGGCATGCAAATCCTTGGAATGCTCGAGTTTGGCACACACCAGACAGCTCATAGCGACAAAATGGTGGACGAAATTACGTCAGTGAAAACACCCTATATGGTGACACATTGCACGTGGATATAACGGGAAACGTTATTCGTCATGTGAACACGAACGACATCGTAACAGCGCGCAACCACTGACGACTAAAGTGATTTGCATAAGGACTACATGTCAGCGTCATGTTGATGGAAAAGTAATTGACATCGAGGACCTTATGTGTGTAAACTATGATTTAAAAATTCCGAGGACACCTAGGCACTCCTTACGAGTTGTGAATGCGAAAGCATGACTGACGTCTTTCATCTCCCTTAGTTCGTCTGGGATGTACTGGCAGGCACGGCCGCCCCCGCCCCGCCCTGCCCCCCCCCCCCCTCCCCCCCCTAGATTTTACAGGTTGAAATCTACCACGAAAATACACGTTTAGTGAAAATTTGTAGGTAGTAAGAGCAGTCCCCGAGGGTTTCGGGCAATTTTAGATTAATGAGAGTACTTCTTGGCAATTAAAATTTGCGAGCAGGTTAAACAAATAGCTCGCTATTCAAAAAAGCTCGCCTTACCTGTAACTTGGTCGTAAATATTTACTACATGAACTGCCCACACTGCATTCAACTTGAAACTTACTTTAATGTAACACTTTGCACTTTCTCATTGATCGAAGCAATCGTGTCGTCGGCCATGATGTGCGCTACGGCAAAGTCCGTCGTCCGTTCATTCGGCAAAACGGACCAAGTCGTCCCTAGTCCACGGACTCATTGAAAACACATGTAAACTGTACCCGTTTTCGCCTCAAGAAAAAAAAGGAAGTTTTGCCCAATGTTCATACGCCCGGCGAAGTAGTTCTTACAAGATATGGTTGACGGAGGCAGAAGCGATGCATTTGGCGTTTGAAACGTGTACCTCTTGATAAGGTAACATATATCTAATCTAAAATGCACCTACATCTCAATTCTCAGCATAAAGAGGGAAATTACTAACGCTCCACGAGGACCCGTACTTTTTTTTACTACGGTTCTTGAGGTGAAAACGCGTGTAGTGGATCACGTTGGATACAGGAAAACCCAACGCTGACAGCCTTTACCGACCGCGTTCAAACAGTCAACATAGCTGGGAACGGGCAGACACGGAAGCAAGGTAGGCCGCCAAAAACGTTTCTTCTGCTTCCCGATAGATGGCGCCCAACGTTTGCGGGGAAAAAAGTCCCGTTCCACTGAATACAAAGAACAGATTTCAAACATTCTACAGCCCACTGGTTAAAGGCAAATCTCCTTCACCATGCCTTTCCACATCGCAGCAGCTACCGCTGTCAATCGCAGCGCCCTTCTTGTGTTCGTTTGCACTTTTTTGACGGGGGAAATGGAAGATCTCGGAGCAGCCGCAGTGAGTGGCATTGAGCCCGGTGGCGCTGCCATCGACCACAGTTAAAGCCTCGTGGTGTGAATGTGTTCGTCTTGCAAGTTCCGTCAAATGTGCCAAAGCATGAGGCCGGTGCCTCGTGCTTTGGCATGCTGGTGCCTCATGAGCTGCTCAAAATGGCAGATAGAAATTCAAAGGATGATCCAAATGTCCTCCCCCCTCCCCCCCTTCCCCCTGGAATACCGCATGTGTAAAACGTTAGGGCGGGGAAAAGTTTGAGATCAACGAGGAATGATGTAACATGTCTCGGAGTCAATCATGCCCAAATTAGTACTCTTCCTTCCACCGTGGCTACTCCGGCTTCTTAATATTACTGCGTTGCATGTTCAATGCACTCGATTACAGTGTAACTCGGTGGAACTGACCATGTGCCAGTTAGCCATGTTCTCGCGTCATACATCCTCTCTCTGAAAACACGCATGGCTGCTCTTGGAAACAAATTGCGGCGCAGAACTTTCTCGTGACAGGTGTTTCACACGTTACAGAGCAATTATTGTCGGTACTCGTAAAATACTGAAACGCAAATTTTATCAAGGAGCATTATAGCCACGGTAGCTGGCGTTGAAGAAGCGGGTGCGGCTCAAAGCCCGAGCAACGCTAAAGCTGGAGAGGTCCGTGGTTGGTTATCAAGACAAGGCGAATTTTTTCAGGCGCGCTCAGTAACCTAACTGTGTTTGGAGATTTATATCTGTCCTTTGACCCGCTTGTTCTCCTTCTCCAGGGATTGTTAACGTCAGACTTGTCCAGCTCGCTTGTACCTTTGTATTATCAGCAAAAGCATTGCTCGTGTCCGCTGGGCCGCGTGTGACGAACTCAAGAAACTCGGCTGAATCGCTGGGTCACTGTTTCAATGCACCTCCTGGTGAAGCGCCAGGACGTAGCGAGGCGGCAGGGATCAAGCAACTGTGACCAAATATAGGCCAATATAACAGCACGCAAGCCGAGTTCCGGAATGGTATATAGCCGATCATGTCAAACCTGCGCCCCACGCGCTTGATCGAGGTACACAACGTGAACCTACCGTACGTCCTTGGAGCGATCGACGAGCACTCTGTCGATCTCGATGCTGGGCCCAAGCTCCATGGGAGGTGGCGCCCTCTTAGAGCCGTTTGCGAGTCTGTTCAGTTCTCGGATCGTGCGGAGCATGGACAGAAGATTCCCTTCCATCTGGTGCTTCAGGGATTCAGTGTCCGCTTGTCTGCGCCAACATGGCAGACGTGACCAAACGTAACATAAAATTAGTTTTGTACTAATAGGTGCGAACGATGGAAATTGGCTAAGTCTAGCGTTGTTAGGCCTTGACATAGCTCATGAATCATGAGTAGGGTTCCGTGTTTTCGGTATATACCAATAAATACCGATAATTAACCCCCGAGGCGTTTTTTTTCTGAATCGGTAAAGACCGAAAAACACCGAATTCAAGCTTCGGAAAAAATGTCACCTTTTCTAGAAGAATCTTCTAGCCCACTTTCTTTTCTCGTTGACCCGGAACCACCGTGCCCGGAACCACGGTGTAATATACACTCATTAGGTGAGGATACGGCGGGGCTGAACGCGCGGCGCGAGGAATCAGATAGCGTTTGTTCGACGGGCATCCGAAAGGCTGCATCATTCCGCTGCCACCGTGCCCGCGGCTGACAGTGTCGCCGGCGGCCAAACGGCGAAACTGTGTGAGAGCGAAAAACATTATCTCGTTGCCATGACACCCCGGCACACCGTGGTCTTTCTGCACGGTGCGACAACCTCGCTGAAGCTCTGCGCGTGTGGAGCATGAGGCGGCACGAGCCGTTTTGTACGTGCCCACGGGTCGACGAGTCACCTGCCGGCGCCTCTTGGAACCATAGTGAGAGAGAGTGAAGAGCGAACTTTATCGGACACGTCGTTAGTTAATAATGTTAATAATGTATTGGGTTAGTTAATAACGTAAATTGACATTCATTTAAAATTGGCTTTTAGAGAAAGGTTAATATTTGTAACTTACTTCCTCTCCCTTCCTTAATTTAATAATATTACCGCACTTGACACCTTTCTTCTCTTTCACTACCTCTTCATTAAAACCTCAGTTGTGAGTCAGCGCTCTTTCCTTCCTGTTGTTTCTTCCTTGTCTACCTTATTTGAGCTGTTTAAGTCAAGATAGTTACAAAATGCAAAGGGGAAGGAAATCGGCTTAGAAGGGCGAGAGAAAAAATCAAACTTGGTTTGTTGTTTTGGTTTCCAGGCTAGGTGGCGCAAGCAACCGCCCTTTGCAAAGGGTAAACTCGTTACCATCCATCCATCCACACGAAAAAGGTGAGCAAATGAAACTAGGCTTTGGGAAACAGATTCCCGTCTGAACGCAACTGAAAAAGTGGCGCGCCTCCGAAAAAAAGTTGCGCGTGTTCCTCGCTTCTGGAGCAATTTTTTGCTGAAACCTCACTGAGGCCTGTCAATCACCTGAAGGAGAGACGCGGACGCTGCCAATGGCCGCTCGACTTCGCTATGACGTCTGACCTTCGAGGCAGAGCGAGCTTTTGGAGGAGTCTGATTTTTGGCCGATTCCGTATCCGAGCCAAAGCCGAAAAAAGAAAAGCAAACATGGCGAGCGACAAGCGAAGAATCGGGGTGTACGGGTCGATACGGGGCGTACGACAGCGCTTTACCAGTACGGGTTGGTGGCGCGGTGCAGATTCATCAACAGTCGCGACGAGTGCAAGCACGCATATAAACATGATGGCTGGAGATAACTCTTTTAGCGGTGCAAAAATGTCCGAAATGCTTAGAGATAATCCGCTTGTTTTTTTTACTTTCGTGGTCTTTCCCGGGTTTGGCAAGATAAACCGAGTGAACCGAATCTGACGAAGTTTAGTGAGCGATATTAATAAAACAGTATCTTCACCCTGTCTGTACTTCAAATCATTTGGATGTGAAACGCTTGGCATTCCCGGTGCAGATGACAAGGTTTGGCGCAATTCTTGTGAGTCAATACGTCACAAGTTTTGCGCGTCAGACTCCACTTGTGTACAGGCCGATTTCACGAATCTCGGTTTCGCTAAACTGTGGCGCGTTGAAAAGATGCACCGTGTGAATAAGCCTTTACCTTTCACTGAACCCCATTAGTCATCCACAGAAACCTGCGGCCTCTTAGAACTGGGTGCCTTGAAACATCTTACAACGAGAGGACACACTGGCGCCTTCTATTGGGTAGCAGTGTAAACTTGGCGATCCGTCATAATTTCTATATCTCTCGCGCATTACCCTTTCTCTCTTCGCTCTAAAAACTTTTTTCCACGTTATAAACGAGTTTTTCTTATACGTATTACGCACATTTGATCTCGGAAATCCCGCAAAACCTTCGCTCTTGTGAGATGTAGTTCCAGGGTGATCGCATAGATGGCGCCAGAATGCCAGTGTGTTCCTTCGTCCTAAGGTCTCGTCTATCTCGATCGTACTCGGTTGCAAGAGTGTGAACGGGAGAGTCGAGTCTTAGGTCTGAGCACGGTGGAAGAAGAGAGGGGTGTCGGAACAAGTACAGAAAGGGGTTCGAAATTTGACTCGGGCTTCGCGCATGTACCATAGAGGGCGCTGTCGGGTTGGGGTTCGTAGAGTTCGTACATAGGCTCCCTACGGGAGCCAGAGTTGCGCGTTGATCTCCGTAGCGCCGTCTTTCCTGCACGGCATGTTGATCCCGCTCCTCACGTGACTGAATTCGGCGAATAGCGGCGCCGTGCGTTCTAGGCGCCCTGGACGCTCGCTTTGGCGCGCACCTGCCGCGTGCTCGACGAACGCGCCCGGACTCCGGCGCGGATGGACTAGAGTGGGACCTCCCACCACACGACGTGGTCGCCCCGGACGATTGCTTGATCGCCGGACACCGCGCCGTGCCAGCCTCCAGCGCTGGACCCCCAACTCCCCCCGCCCCCCATCCCCGGCCACCCGGTATTCGATGCAACTAAATTAATCCCCCCTCGCGCGTACTCCGACATGCCCGCCCCCCGTCCCCTTCTACAAATCTATTTCTATCTCCCCCCTCCACCCCCAACCTTTCTCCCCACACCCCCCTCCCCCCGAGAGCCAGTGACCAAGCGCCCGGTGCGCAACCACTATTGGCCCTCTCCTCCCCCCCCACCATCTTTCACAACGCTTAGAAGAAGAAGAAAAGCAAGGAAAAATACGCCGGGCGCCTGCAACGTCTGCTTTCCTACACGGCACTCGATCCGGCTCCTCACGTGATCGGATATCGGCGAATAGCGGCGCGGCGGCACGTAGAAAACAGACGCGCAACTTTCCCCCCCAACCTCTATTACAACGCTTCTCCTCGTCCTCGCTCCAGTAGGGTACAGGAACTCTAGGAGTTCCACGCGCAGGCACGGTGGCGCGCCTCGCGGCCTTGAAAACGCGCGTTCAAATAAGGACGGTTCCTCGAGCTCCTGTCATGCTGCGCCATCTCACGGCATTTGCCGAAAATGGAAGCGAACCATCATAACCTCCCAGATCCCGAAGCGCGCGCGGAGGCTTCTTTGGCTGTCCCATTCGAGTCGCTCCCCAGCAGTACCAGTGTAATAGACCGATGTCACCAAGCGAACTGCGCAGGCGCGCGCATTCCGGAAGTGGTGCCGCCGCCGTGCTACTTGTAGTCATCCCTTCCCGGCTTCCCGGCTACATACGGCTGCGCGTACGTACATCACCATAGATTATCATTTGGCACGCCCCGGTATCACCTTGATTCTCTTGCATGTTTTTACTTCATAAGATTGTGTTATTTGTGATGCCTTACTTTCCTCAGCAAGTGCAGAAAAGCAGTTTCAGTCGTCTTATCGCTTTAGAATCGCTTTGTCGTCTGCTTCGTCGTCGTCTGTTTCTTCGTAATCCCACTGCGGCCAAGGTATATGTACATGGGTAGCGAAGCTTCGGCCAAAAAGCGGTTCAAAACAAATCGCCAGCGACATCGACCTGGAGGGTCACGTGAAGGATGCGATTGAAGCGCGACTAGGAGAGGTGGGGACAAACATTATTAAATTAATTAGTTTGTGACTAGAAGTATAATCATTAGTATTTTTAAACAAGCTAAATATTATTATTACATAATATCAATCATATTTAACGCGATACAAAAATCAAAACTGTCTTTGTTTTTGCTAATATTATGCATACTTCTTATTAGCGTCCTCTGTACGCCACTAGCAAAAAGGCCGACTAGCAATAGCGATATTTGCAGTTTTTTGTAGACCTCGTTGCACGCGGAAAGGCAGTCTACTGACGTCCGTCTGCTTGCTTGTGTTTGGGCCTCCACGTGCTCTTCGCTTTTAATTGTTTTAGCGGCAGTTAACACCGTTTCAAGAGTTTTGTTGTTTGCTCGGGCGTGATTAGCTCAGTTACCTGCGCGGGAACTCGGCTGTCGTGCGCTTGGATCTTGGACGCTACTGCACCCAAGGGGCTCAACGTCTTTTGCGACGATGAGCACAGCGCGATACGCAAAGAAACGATGCTCCGTGGAGATGTGTGAAAGCAACACCCGCACGGCTGGCATCTCGCTGCACCGGTTTCCCCTCGACTCTCGAAGGTGAGACTTCGCTACTGTCAGTGACATGCCTGCTGTGTGATGTGTGCCCCCTTGTTCGCTCTTCTCTGAACTCTTGTTAGTTTTACCTAAAACTATTAGGGTTGTCTGGATGTGCACAAGAAACTACACCTGAAGGCGTAATGTTATACTAGGAATGTTTTAACTTCAAAGTCACTCTGACTTCGCAGCCTTGTGTGCCGTCATTATAAACGTGCCCCACGATATTAAAATTTACCTGTACCGGCCTGGCTCTGAGGAGCCTAGTGTTGTGATCATCGGCATGGTTATCAGTGGTACAACACAGATATGTAATAGGGCATCTGTGCGCAAGACTCGTGTTTTTACTCTTTATGATGTACACAGAGCAGTGATGTCATGCATTTGTTAAGGTCCTTGCACTGATTTGCTTTGGTTGGTGGACATTTTGGCTACATTTTCTTTTCGTAAGTATTCATGGCACCCTCATAGCACCATGCGTTATCTGCAGGCGCGAAGCCTGGGTTCGGTTCTGCAAAACGCAAAGTCTACAGGGGAAAGACTCCATCTCAGCTACGAGACAGGGTGGTTTGCTCCTTACATTTGGAGGAGTCAGCTCTCCTGCGCCCTGGACACCTCCGTCACAATGCGTTGCCAAGTGTGCTTCCCACAAAAAGTATGCA